ATGTAAATCAAAATTATATATTTAATCTGCAATAGGCCCTTAGGTCAATTTGGGTATTCTCCATTTCTGTTCTAAAAGCAGTAATTAGTTATAATAAACCTCTCTAAAACTACGTCATTTTAAGATTAATAGCCGTCATATTGTAAGGATCTTAAGTTATACTAACGTTTATTTTGTTTTAAAGCTATACTATCCCCTCTTATTTTCCACTTCCGGATAGAATTAAACGCGTTAACTTGTTTATGCAAATTGTACTTGCTAACGCCCAAGTACTTAAGTTATGTTGTGTTATGTTATGTAGAAGTGAGGGGGCCACCTAATATTTACCCTAAGTAAGCAGGTATTAGCCCCACACACTAACTAGAAAACTAACAACATTATAGCATCATTTCCTCGAGTCGTGATGAAAATTGTGACTGCAGTGAGCACTACAAGTACTGCCACCGGCGGCGGCATCAACGGTACTCCTAACCTTTCAGCGTTAAATTAGCTCAAGTAAGGGATTAAATTACATGAAATACATTGCGATATACATAGTTGTGCAGGTGCATATTTCAAGATGTTATCTATTGTAGTGGGTACAGGCAACACATTTCAGGACATTATATTTTGCATTAGAAACAGGCATGTTGTTCCCACGTCACAAATCATTTTTGTAAACATGATCTGTTTACTATCAGAATTAATTAAGAACTATAAAATTGTTTAAAAAGCTTACATATAAGTACCGTTGTAAAGTTGTGCTGAAACTGAGCTCAATTTTGACGATTCATTATTTGTTTTAACGTACGTTTTTATGTTAATTGATTTTCAGAAATTATATTATTGTCTAATAGTACATTGTTATTTGCATGTAAAAATTGATCATGACATTATAAATTGTGGTGGCTAGAAGCAACTTATTTCTAGTGTATAGATCATGCCTACAATCATGACTTTTTTACATAATTTTTTTATACAAACAGCTGTCAAAATTTGAGAAGAATATAAAGTAATAAAAAAGGCTGAATATATCTGAAAACGAAAGAAAAAAAATAGCTTCATCTGCATACTTATGCGTACTGCATACTTTTAGATATATCTGCATACATATGCTGATGCATTGCCAACTTATATTTGTCAGTTCATTGTATGCAAGTACATGTGTTTTTACAATAATTAATTTACATGAATTACATTCTATGATACATTACATTGTTGATACTTTGCCAACTCAATGCTGGCTATTTATTATATGTGTTCACTTATCAGGTAATTGGTGATCTTATGTTACATTCATCTATTACCATTTACCTGAAGTAAACAGATAGTAGCCCCTTACCCTAGTTGTGAGTGACCTATTTTGTGCTTCATATGGTTTGCGATGCTTATTTTCTTCCTATAAAGGTACGCCCGCGTACATTATATATGCATTTAATTGCTTTATTTGGCTATGGTTGGAGTATTTCTTTGAAGGTTAAATTACACTACATAACTCTTGACTTCTAGCTACCAAAAAGTCAATAACCTTCGTAATTTTATTCCTCAAATGTTTATTCTTGACTGCATATCTTAGAAATGAGAATAAATCCTCTTCTGAATTTGGCTTCTTTAGATGAAGGGAATCTGTCAACGGGCAGGAAAATAAATAATGCTCGGGGTGACCCTTTTCACCACATGCACAGGAGTCTGATGAAGAGAGAGATTTCTTGCATAGAGGTACGCGGTTTATCACGGGAAAGGGACCATGCCCCGTGATAAACCACGTGATGTGTCTGGAGAGATGGATTGGAGGAGAGTCAACTTTGGGGAAGAGGTTGTAAACTCTTCTGCCTGTATTTGCACCGTCCCACCATTGTTGCCATAAGTCTTTAGTTGTGATCTGAAGTTTTAGTTTGAGGTGAGAAGCTGGCCAGAGGATGCTTATTTTCTTGGCACTGATTCCTTGGCTAATATGTCAGCCTCTTCGTTTCCCTTATGATCAACATGGGCCTTGATCCAGATTATAAAGAAGTGTTGGCCTTGGGCATTGGAGGACTTTCTAAGAATTTCCTGAGCTAATGGTGATCTATTATTTGGGTTCGCGAGTGCATGCATTGCCGAGAGACAATCTGTATAGGTGTGAATCCTTGGGAAATGATGATGTGTGCTTATGATTGATTGCCTGCAAAATTCGCGAACATTTCCGACTAAAAAACGCTATTCTCTTTGTCAATTTGGAACTTGAAGTCTTTTGTTTCATGGTCACTGAGATATATTTTTATAGCGCATCCTTTTCCATTGTTTATGCCAGAACCATCAGTGTAGATCTTGGTATCTATTCTGCCTTATGTATAGTGTCATATTATTTCGGCTAGCTGGGTGTCTTTCATATGGATGAGTCGGTGAGGTGTAGGAGCTGGCAGCTACTATCTCATTTTTAATTTTGAAGTCTTTTCTTAGCTGAAGAACTGAAGCCTTTGCATGTTCCTGCTCTGCAACTAAGAATAGGGGGATGCTGTTGGTGAGCTGAAACAGTGCAGCATGTGAGGTTGTTTTGTAAGCACGAAAATAATTTAAAAGAAAGGGCCTTTGGATGGATTGAAGTTGCATTTGTTTTCTCACCGTCATTGGTGACGCCCATATCGCTGCACCATACAGTGCTATCTTTTCTATAACAGTGTTACACAACAGCTTTTGTATCTGAAGGTTTAAGCCCCATCCGACACCTTGCATTCTTTTCAGGTTGTTAGCTATACTGGAGGTTTTCTTCTTAATTTGCTGTAGGTGCTCAATGAAGTTAAGTTTATTATCTATTGTAATCCCAAGATATCTTAAGGATTTGACTATTTTAATTTTGTTGTTGTGAACGTGGAATTTCGGTAATCTGGTTATTTTTTTGAGAAGGCTTATGAATATCATGGCTTGAGATTTTTCCTGTGACATTGTTGGTTTTTGGTGTTTTGCAAAAGTTCGTTGAATTTTTTCCAGAGGTGGTATTAACATTGGCTCTCCAGTACTTATCTAGAAACTGTCCGACTGATTACAAAGGCTGCATCATCAGCAAATACAATGCACTTTGTGTGGTCTGACCATTGATGTTGTACTATTTTGTTAAAAGCTAAATTCCAGAAATCAGCGCTAAGACAAGAGCCTTATGGAAAGCCTCTTTTTTGGTTTCTCTCGATGGTTCCGCTGTAGTTTTCGGCAGTTTGGGTACTACATACGTAATATTTTAAAAGGCCAGTCTTAGATAGTTCTGTAAACTATTCAAAATCAGCTCTTATTTAAAATTTTAGTTTGCTGTTTTATATTTTTACGTTCAGACCACAAGTGGTTGGTCTCTGTATCCCGAAGTGCGGGAGCACCTGTAATATTGTAGAAAATAAAGGCTAAAGTTAACTCTTCCTGCTTGTGTTGTCCATTCCAAACCTATTTGAACATAGCTTGAGTAAGCTCCCTGTTCCCATTCAGGACACGTCATGTTCCCAAAACAGATTAAAAGGAATACAAGTTAAGATAATATGACTTTTATATAACCCTGGTGGCATAGATGGTTTTGCGAATTGCAACTCAAGTAGCTAATAATAATTTTAAAGCACTATTAATGAACCAATCAAACTTTATCGAAATCGAAACTCAATCTGAACTAAGATTTCGTCTCGAACACATCGTACTTAACATCCCGCTTCCCTTGCTAACGCATGCTGTCTTCACAAATGGAAAAAAGTTATAGAACAGGTGTTTCTAGATTGCCTTTGAGATCCTTTGTTGATTACTCCTTGCTCTAGCTGGTACAGATTAAGGAGGAAATCTCAAAATCCACGTGTCTTGATCACTTACAAAGCCTTACAAGGATGAGGAATTAAGCAAAAGTAGACAAATTAACGAAAGAAAGTATGTAATTGGTGAAGGAATGTACCTTTATGCATTTGGGCAGAAGAGCCTTTTGTTTATTTGAGAATTATTCTTAAAACGAGCACGGAAAAATCTTTAAAAGCAAACTTCTTTTTCTTTTTCTCACAGAACCCCCTACAAACCTCGAAGTTCTTCGTAAGTGCAAATCATGATCAGGGGAGAATTTCCTGTAGTAAATTAATTAAATGATAAATCTTTTGGCTGATACTCTTATAGTCACCTAAATTTTATATATTTCATACCACAGGTCTCTAACATATGTTAAGAGCCCAGAAACTTCACAAAAATTAAGACCTACTGAAATTCCTGTGCCCTCTGTTTTCGTAAAGAAAAGTTGGTTTGAGTGTTGAATTAAGATAAAGTAACATTGAAGAAGCATTCAGATACGTAACTGAAAATAGTGTTTCTTATCCTGACCTCTTTTCGCGAACAGGCAAGGAATTTGAGAACGATAAGATGGGTGTAGTGGGTTTCATTATTTACTGAAAGTAAAGATCAATGTGTTTGAAACTGAAATACTTTTCGCTAAATCATGCAACAAAACCTGAAATTATTTTAAGTCCAATGTTTAAAAAGAAAGCGCGGAGTCAAAAAATTTATTTGCTGAAAAGATTTTATTAGTTAAGGATGTATATATATTTATAAGGCATTTCAATAAGACAATTTCGGGACTCAAAATTATTATGTGAAAAGCGATGGGACTTTACTGAAAATTTGGTTTGCCAATGTAAAAGTTTTCCTCTTCTCCAGCACTTAGTTTTGGACAAGAAATTTTAAAATAATGCGAGAAATTAATGTCTTAAAATTGCAGTAAGTAATTTTCCTTAAATAATAATCTTAATCAGTTGTAAAAATTTCTTTTTATTGACGTTACGTTATTAAAGCTTTAAAAGGTTTCCTTAGCTTGCGTAACACTATTAGTAAAAATTCAGAGTTGCTTACTAAATTTATAGCTGAACATATATGAAATCGCCCCAGTTTCCCTATTTGTGATTCAAAACTAATGCCTCCAGGGATGCCTAAAGAAATTTGACTTCCATTTCCGTGTGTGTTAGTTATAAATTAATTTTAATTTGTAACTTTTTGAATCATAACAATATTATAAAATGCAAGCAATTAAGACATGAACAAAGAAACTAAACATTTATTGAAGTGATACAAACTTTATAAGTACTGAAAGAACAAGATATTTAGCTCTATATTTAGGCAATATAATATATATATGTATATGAACACATAAAATAATTCAGTAAAATTCCTTTCATGTGCAATAAAAAACAACACATAGTAATCTAAATAACAGTAAATCATATTTAGCAACTTTCTTTTACACACACGTGATATAAAAGTCTGTATGGAAGACGAACTTCAAATGAACGTTTTCAACGCTCACTTGGTTAGTATTAAAATACGTTTATTCTTACAAGTCTACAAACAACTAATAAAGAAAACGTTTGCACAGCAATAAACTTGGTGATAAAATAAAATAGTTATTTTTCTGACAAACGAAGAGCTTTTATTAGACTTTAGAATGTAATTGCTTACTATTAAAGTCTGTTTTACATTTATCATAACATAAATTAAAATTATCCTAAATAGTTAAATCTTAATTGTCATTGATTAAATATGTGATTTTCAAGAATTTTACAGAGAAATTAGTTCTTGAAAGCAAAATATCTGCATTCAGTTTACATAAAATTATTTACAGCTGCAAATAGTAAAGCATTTTAACATATTGTTGCATACGTAAATGAAATTTCAATACTTTTAAAACAAATACGGTTAAATCGTCTATTAAATTCTTTATATAGTTATGTATTGAAATATTATCATGGAATACAAATTTGAAGGAGAAATGCATTTTTTTTTTCCAGGGAACGAAATAAAAAAAACTACGCTCACTTCGTGGATAAAAACATTTCTCGACATCTCTTATCGAGTATATTTTTTCTAAATTAAGATCATTATATTAAGATATACGTAAACAATAATATTGTTTTGGGGCACTGATGCAATACTTCAAACTTAAAAATTAATACATTCTTCCCTCTCAGTTTAAAAGTTATGGCAAGGCAAAAAATATGTTGAAAAATATTTCATTTGGCAAGCATTATGAAAAACAACTGAACCTCAGAATATTTAATGCCTTGAACTTTGAACCTTGTCTAAAACGTCATTAATATGACAAGTAAGTACTATGTTAAATCTGCAGTCTGGTAAAGCTCTATAGATTTATTAAAATTTTAAAACTACTTTTCTTTGTTTTTATTAAAATCGCTAGTTTACACAATTGCAACGATGAAGGTATTTGCTATTAGAAAAACCTGTAATAAATACCGCATAGTTCAGCTTAAACTCCGTGGTCTTAAATTACCTTGAGTTTCTTCAACTATCTGCTTGATTTCGAACCTCAAGCGTACGTATGAAGACAATAGTTCGCAGATTGAACCAGCCTTCGAATTCCTTGAGGGTGAGTTTGTACGTTCAAGTTCATTGACTTCTACTAAGGGGTCACTGCAGCTTTATGACAGATAGTTAACACTGCTGGCAAACACGAATTTTTCAAAAAGAAAAAAACATTTAGCAATATCTCATGGTGTGTCAGTCTATAAACTGAAAATTAAATGTTTTTGCTCTGTTAAATATACTATACTGAATTACATTAACGAACAATAAGCTAATTTATGTGCAAAATTATAGAAACTCTTTGTTTTGAACTTAACTTTTGGAATTATCACATTTTTCATTACGCAGGTCAGACACATGATTATTATCCTGTTATCTCGTGGCATCAACCCCTTGAAGAAGAGTTGAGATATGTGACTCTATTTTCCTTTTAATTATTCTCTCCTCTAATAGTTTTGAATATCCAGTTTTGTCTGACCCAAAAAAATTATACAAAATAAATATTTTGCATGCATATATGTGTCTGAATTGCTCTGCCTCCATAAAATATTATGAATAGCAATATTTTGATATTATGAACATTAATGACTACAAATTTAGAGAAGAAAACGAATTCTTGCTCAAAATGAACTTTGCTAAAAACTCGCTTAGCAGCTTTCGTTTAGGTTGAACACACAAAACACAAAAGCGTGCTTGTGCTAGATAATTTTGAAACCGTGAATAGATAAAAGCTCACCAGACAAAAGAGCACGTTACAAAAGCTCGCAAAAATTAATCCCACTGTGATAATTGCCCACGCGAAAATACCCAGGCAGATGAAAGCGCACATAGATAAAAGCCCACAGAGATCAAAGCTCACATTGATAAAAGCCCACATGAATAAAAGGACACACTTTTTTTGTCAATATAGAATGTATTTATGTTAATTATTACAATAAACTGAATATTAGAATCTGATTTTTGATGCCTCAAAATTATGTGTGTTAATATATTTTATCACTACTTTATTTGCTTGCTATGGAAAGCAAGCTTTACTGCTTTCTGATCAAATAGTTAGCTAAAATTTTTCGATGATAAAACTGAAAACTTATTTTATTTATTTATTTATTTTGTGTGTGTATGTGTGTGTGAAATTGAAAAATATCGTTGTGAAGTTCTTCAAACCAGTCAAAGAAAGAAAACAATAAAATAAGTAAATTAGACTTGTCATGGTGTTAAAAGTTTCAGGTTAATTTAAGCTAGCAGTCTTATGACTAACAAATTTTTTAATAAGATATAAGAGAGTTACGTTTACTGATATAAGAGAGTTACGTTTTAAAACGTAACTATCTTATATCATTTTTTAATATAAAAAATTGATGTAAGAGAGTTACATTAATGTTTTCAATATTTAATGAATTTTGTATTTATTATAAAATTTCAGTGAACGTAGGATTCAGTATAACGTAGGATTGTTAGCCTTCTTGCGCTAATTATTTGAGACAGTGGAATTTCAGTAAGTCAAAACTATTTTCTTGTATATGCCTAAAAGTTGGATTACATATATGTATATAAACATTTATATAAATAAAACTCTAAGCGACTTATGTCACTTAATTTAAATATAAGTAAAAAATTTTATCCTTGAATTTAAAAATATTTCGAACCGCAAAATTTGCACTGGGAGACCATACCTTAGTTTAAAATAAAATAGGTATTTAGTCACGGAGGTAATTATATGGCTGGAGGAAATAACTCTAACAATAAAACATAAGTGTGAGATTAAATCTCAAGCTCATAAAGAAATAACTAAAATGCAATATAAATTTAAGCTCATAAAAATATCTAAAATTATTTATAAAAGAAAACATACTATGGCTGTTAAATGTGTGATAAAGTCAAAAAATAAAAATCTATGTTCAGAATCAGTTAGGTTCACTAAATTTTAGAATCTTTAAAGTTTTATAAAAGAGAAGCTGAAAAGAGTATTTGAAAAATTCCAGATATTTTTATTATAGTGTTATAACTAAGCCATAAAGGAACGTTTAACGTATTATTTCAAGATGCTAGTTAAACACTCCAAATGATTGTAGAGGTTTTCTTTTGATGTAAAAGAGAAAAATGATATTGCTGGAAAACGTCTGCAGAACGACGAATAAAAATTATTAGACACATATCATCTTTTTTACTAAAATGTTATTCTCTGTCTACCCGTTGTCATCATTTGCACATTCCCAATTATCCAACAGAAGCGGGAGGGAAATTACCAAACATAACTGTGTTGTTAAAGATTGCTAAGTTATTGAGCTAATGAAAATAAAAATCATTAGATTTTAAATATTTTATGCTTCATATGAAATATTTCTCTTATGAAAATGGATGGAAATTTCCAAAATTTGAAGCACTTTATTTAATGTTCTTGCTGTTAATACTTTCATGTAGTTACAATATGTGATATCTGTTTCATCATAATAAGTATGATAAACAATTTTTTAGTTAAGAACGTAAAAGGTGAAAAAAGAAAAGGCATTAGTGTTATGTTAACATATTATTTTGAAAACTAATGTAGAAAAAGAATTAAAACCCTTGTGAAAGAAAGTATTCTTTCATTAATAACTTTATCAGCCTTCTTACAAACAAATAACTCTGGTTTTAAAAAAATATAGAAGCTTAGCTGCAAGACTGGTAATCATATCAAATAACCATGCTATACTTTTACGTTACTTTTGCGTTACGTCCTAGATCGGAATATTACATGCATAATTTTTATCTCTCAAGACTATTTTATAAGATTTGGGATTACAGGTAACTTAATCACTGAAAATACAGCAATATTGTAAAACTCTTTGTTTCTTAACATTTATTGTATAAAAAGTATATTAGAATTATTTACAATAAAATGCACTATTTTAATAAAGGCAAGCTCTTCAGAATCAGAATTTAGAAAGGAAAGAGTATTAATAGCAGCTTGTGTTACACAACCTCAAGAAATGTTTACATTCGAACTTATAATATAGCTAGAGCATAATTATGCCGTCGTGATAATACATTAGCTACATTAACATTCTATTTCGAATTCGAATTACGCTCTCTTCACACTTCTTGCTGATAAAATTGAAAAATAAGAGAGGTACTGCTTTCTATAAATTTATGCTCGAGATGTTAACCATTCTATTATATCTTCAACGACTTGCTCAGCAACCCCATTAGGTTCGTAAAGAAGACTGTGATAGGCTTTTGGGTACATCTGAAATGAAATAAAATGTATTTTATTTCAGAAAAAAATTCTTCATGATTCAACATTCATTAAAACATGCATATATATATATGTAATAATATTAGAAGAAAATTATAAAAATTTATTCTTAAAATTCATACTGTACCTAAGAGTTAAAAAAAATTCTTCCTTCTGAATGAAATTTACAAGTCTTTTTAAGCTCAACAATCTCATTGCCTCTGGGGGAAATTTACAACAGTCTTACTAAACTTTAATTTATTTCCAGGAAATAAATAAATTATTAAATTTGAAACTTGGATAACGTACCTCAATTTCACGCTATTTCACAATTTCTCTAAATTTCAAGATGATATTTACAAGCAGATTAATGGTATTCTAATGGGTACTAACTACTCTATGCCTACTTGCAAGCTTTTACTCTTTTCAAACAATTAAATTTATCGGAAATTGCTTCTAACCTGCTTAAATTTACGGTCAAGTCTACAGATGATATTAGAACAATAAGTACAGTGAAGTATAAAAACAAATTTATCCAAAATACCTTAAATTAAATGAATCTAACATTGAAGAAACAGAAGCAGTATATTTAGACATCAAAATTTTCAACCTCTATCAATCCTTTATCTTATTTTTTAATAAAAGGAGACTGATTTCAACGCCATTAAACTAATTCATTAGCGCACAAATATTTCAGAAACATTGCAGTCAACATATTCCTTAATCAAACAGTAAGAAACAAAAATTTGTATCAATGCTGAAGAATTTCACAAAATACTTAAACTTTTTATTAAATATACTTATAAATAATTAAAAATAATAAAATTTCTCACAAGTCCACTAAGAAACAACTCGCAAAACTACACTGATAGTTTAACTAACACTTAATTTAAACTGTTGGTTTGCGTAATAGATTACATTTAAACCCTAATCGAAGGTATAAACTGGACTTTTAATCATATTTGAGTTAAACATATTATTTCAAAAGCTTACACAATTAAGCGATAATATTGAAAAAAATTAATAAATTCCTCTGCTTTTACTAACTAATAGGTTGGTTTAATATTATATCCGGAATAAGACATAAAAGTTTTCCTGTACAAAACTTGACTTAGCTATTTGATTTCAAAATTTGCAATCTTTGACGTCAAAGTTTCCATTGACGGATCGGTTAATAAATAAATCGGAATATTTTAATAGTTTTAATATTTTAATGAAGTTTTATTAAATTAAAATCAAAATCTGGCTATAGTACAAAGGATTCATTAAACTACAGATACTTTTCATTTTCTATTAATACAAATAATATTACAAGTTGGCTGAGTGCCAATATTGAGCCTGTCAGTGTTTCCTAGAACACACATTCTACGATTTTGTAAATAAGATCTCCATTTTGAATAAACAATGACTGATCAATACTTTTTCCCAATAATTTGCATAAATGCTCGTCGCTTGGTATCTTAACATCAAAAGCCTTTTCCAAGCTGATATTTCATGTTTAGTTATGTATAACTTGCAAATAGTTTGCTCTTCAATTTACATATAGTCCCTTAATGAAACCCCGAATTTTATTTCATATATCATGGTCAATTTTTTTCATACCAGACCCAAACTTTTCGTGTTTTATTTTTTATAACGAGTACAAAATGCGCTTAAATGTAATTTACTATACAAACCGCGGTAACATAAAAATTAAATCTAGTATTTTATACAAAATTAATTATTTTTGATTTAAAAATAAGAAAACATGAATTTTGCAGCATTTAAAATTTTTTGTAATTGGAAGTGTATGCCTATGACCAACGGTTGCGAAAATAAAGGCGTATGCACGTGCATGCATGCATGCATGTATGTATGAATGTGTAATTCTGTAATATAAATTCCAAATTTCGGGTAGTTACAGACCAACCTAAAAACACCATACGATAAATTAGTAATTAGTTTAACAATCATAAACAAAACATTACCAAATGATAAAACTACACAATAATAAAAAACTGAATAATCTAACGAAAATACATTTAGTATAAATTATAAACAAAGTAACCTTAATAAGATAAAAGAATGTTTTCAATTATGCTTGGGAGTTTTGTAATCCCAATCTTTATAGCCATAGTCGTCTCCCGTTAAATAAAACTATGTAAATATACATCTTGTTTCGTAGATACAAGAATTAATGTTAAGTAATTAAGATATATTAAATTTGCATTAAGATAATATATACACTATATGAATACATACATATTAACACTAAGTAACAAATTCAAAATAAAATTGCGATAAACGTTAAATTATCAGCAATTTTTTTGGAAAAAGCATAACTTCAGTGCCTTTACAATAAAAGAGTTAAAATCAGAAATGAGACTTTACGGCTATCACGATTGCCATATGAGAGCAATTTTCTGAATAAGTATTTACTTTGGGTCTTGAAGATATGCTTATAACACCGTAAAATTTTTTAATAAAAAAATGTTTAAAAGTCACTGCTATCTAAATGTAAGATGTGTCACGAGTTATAACTTCACAATGCATTATTAAATATATATATTTAAAATGAAAAAAGTGCTTTTCTTAGTTTTCACAGCAACAGTACTGTGTAAGCAGTCTATGGTATCAGCAGCTTTCCCATTCTGCGTAATTTTTCATTATTAAAGAATTAGATTAAGATAACAAAAATATTGGGAAAAAAAGGTTAATAAAATTTATTCGAAAATCCTTCTGACTCACTTTAATGGACTTATCAGTGGACGCAGCTTTTTCATACATCAGAATGGCACCTTCTGGTGCACAAAGTTTGTCATCCTCTCCTTGATATATCACAAATGGAAAGGTGATAGAAGGAATTTTACTCTGAATTTCCTACAAAATACACATGCGGGTTACTTCATGAAATACATCTCAAGCATCAGAACTGAATTACAAAAGAAATGCGCCATAAAAATCATTTAACAGGAATGTTCTCATGAAGTATATCAAATTGGAATGCTTTTAATATTTTACAGATAAACCAATAGGCTTTTTAATAATGTAGTATTTTAACATATCATAATGATTTACAGTGAATTGATTAAAAATGGGACAGTGTATAGTTATTCGTTGATTCTGATAAGACTGAATAACATCATGAACTAAAGATAAAAGTTTAAGTAGAGATGCTGAGTGAGTAATTTATTCAAAATATAAGCAGTCTTCGAGTGCATTTTGCATTTGTGCAGACATTAGGTTGTTTTGAAGCGGGAGACGTGAAAACTGAGCAATGCCCTCCCCAGGACTCGAACCTCGGACCTCTCGAATACGCGTCGAGTGTGCTGACCATTACACCCCGAAGGCGTGCTAAGAAGGCGGGAGAAATACCTTATATATTTAGACCAAAGAAGAATATCCACACATTATACGTTATGCTGTTTATTCTATGTAAATAAATGATACAACTTTTCTTCCAGACTGTTTAAGTCTGGCTTAGCACCAGACTGTGTCTTACTCAGAGCTGACTACGAGAAAGTCAAAATATGTTTTGGAGTCACCGGCAACAAGGATGGCCAAATAAATTAAGAAGTTTCATTTTTATATTTTGCATGAAAATGGAGGAATTAATGGAGGAGACAGAAAAACTTTAAGAACTTTGAGTATTAAGCTGTTTAGTGAGATCGAAGATTTAACTGAAGATATTTAATTAGATATTAATTACAAACTCAAAGAATTGAGAAGTCTGAATGATTAGTAATTTTAAAAAATCTTAATAATTAATAATATTAAATTTAATAATTTACTAATTTTTAATCTGTTAAAAATAGTAAATCTTAAGCCTGAAAAAATAACGAACAGTAATGATATTTAGTGAGAAGTAAATTCAGGCAAAGAGTACTTAGATAAATTTTATTGTGTAAATAAAAATTACTTTATTTATGAAAAGTACCAAATTCGACTAGAATTAATAAATCAGCCATTAATTTGAGAAACGATAAAACGCTTTTGCCGAAATCTAAAGTTGTATAATTACCTAAATTAACAACTTCGAAAGTTATATGAAGAACTTAGCGCTAGATTCAAATTTTGGTATCAGTATAAAATGCTAGAAATGAAAATCAAGATTTAACTGCTATCGAGATGTTCAATTATTCTAAATAACTTTTAGGTAGAGTTACATTAAATGTAAGTAAAAGGTTTTCTTTAACGGATGAGAAGATAAGTTGGGAATAGAAATACTTATAGAAAGATTCTGTTGAAATAACATAATAATTTACAGTTACCTAAGTAGGCTAGTATAGTCTGAGCAAGCTCAAAGTTTATCAGACATTAAGATACTTAGAAATTTATTTGATGATTAGGAGTACATGTAAGGTATTCAAATAGTTTAAAGACAGCGGAAGGTAACCTAGTTCCATACCAGAGGACATTTGCTTGGAAATAATCATCAAAGTTGAAAATAGATTTTAAAATTTACGAACTTGTTGAGTTCCTAAAACGGGAAGAAGAATCCTGAGAAGTTTATTATCACAAAGAATACAAACTACTACTTTCGCGAATTCTTCTAAAAGAGATATTGTTGCGTTTTTCTCTTCTGACACCAGTTGTTTCCTTCCTTCACGTTCGTACGGGGTTTGTAGATTTGGAGTGAATAACGACGACACTTGATGAAGTATCGAAACACGCTTTATTGGCCAGTATTGTCAGGATAGCTCCAAAGTCACGTTACACTCATCGAAGAACTACTATAAATACGCTGAGAGAATCAGAGATACAGCCTTCGAGTTATCAGGCTATAACGGTGAAGACAGCTTCACTGCAAAGCACCTGAGTACAGCTCCCAACTTTGCTTGGTCGTTCTCGGAACTCCACGTACTCTCGAGACTCTCCAAGCGATGCACTCAACGATACACAAGAGTACAGCTCCCGACTTTTCGGTTTAATCGTTCCCGGAACTCAACACGCACTCTCGACGATGCACTAACCGCGATACACTACGAGTCTCTTTCGGTGCACTCGACGACCCACTCAGCATTCGCTGCCCGGCTGTCAACGCGATCGACTCCGCAGGGATTGACTCGCTAGACGAGACACCAACTCGATACTAACTATCTCGCACTCGACGAGGCACACATTCAGTCTCTGACTGCGGACCAGCAGGGTTTCGGCTTGTGTTCGAGAACATTCTGGGCTAAACCGGTAAGAATTCGTTCCAGAAGGTTCTCTATCAGTCCATGGCATATCGCCAATTTTGTCGCCAAATTTCGTTTATTAAAATTATATTTCGTAACAATATTAATAAAGCTTATAATAATTCTAATAAGAGGCCTTATGCAAAAATTTTCTAACGGCAGCGTTTTCTGTAAGTTTAAGCGTAACGGTATGTATAAAACGTTTGATTGTAGTGTTATCGCTGCTGATAACAAGGGACACAAAATGAAACATGAAGGGAACGTCGCGGCCGAGGTTTTGTGGGAAAGAGAACACAATGCAGTACTTCCGAGCGTGACTCAGTCTGACTCAGAGGTGACTACTGGGCTGACTATTCCCAGTCAAAGGGCGAACTCATTCTCATCAACTGAATAATCAGTGTTCAAGATCCGTTTCAGTTAGAACTACGTAGTACAATTCTATTTGACAGAGAAATTTTCAAAACCGTTTATCACCAATAAACCTGAGAATTAAAGCTCGCCATTAAACAAATGGAACATTTATTAGTGTACAGCTTTAAAAAGGGAGATTCTATAAATAAACTACTGAGCCTGGCGAACACTAAAAGTGTGCTGTGCAAAAGTTCCAGAAAGAAAGGTTCTTTTGAAGTACCAATTATAGACAGCATCTCGAAGGTTTCAGTTTTTCCATCAGTTAATGTTCTTAAGTGATTAAGAACATAGAATGCCGTTTAATGAGCTGCACTTTTATAGGAAAATAATGAACATAGTTTCATTATTTTTTTACTTTACATACAGGATGCATAAAGTAGCCAAAAATCTTTATGAACTCGGAACGATTTTAGGATGTACGATTTCTAGGGACATGAATTTCAATAATGAATAATGTAAAAAATAACTCTATAGTAAATTTATGCTTTGAGATAAGTGATATTTCAAGCGAAAATAAAACATTCAGTGATACATATTCTTCTGAAGATAATATGAACTCCCAGTTGAGAACTTTTGGAACTGGAAGCCTTGTGTATTCAAGACACTGCTTTTAGCGAGCAAAGTCGGCAAATTGAGCCATTTTAAAACAGTATGAACAAGAAACAAAATTAAATCTAAGGTAGATTCGAAGTTTTAACTAACTTTTAAGGAAAATTTCAATATTTTTTCACATATTTTTTTTTTCAGTTTTAAAAGACTTGTATTAAATGAGGTGTTTTAATAATGACGTATTACAGTTTAAAAAGTGCTGATTAGTTTAATTCTGATAAAATCGAATTATTTTAAGAAGAAAAAGAGATATTATAAAATCACTTTTATTACACGCAAATTATGTTTATTACATGAAAGATTTACTTTCACAGCTTCAATAAACAGAGAAGAAGCCGAATCACACTAACCTTGCATGCATCAACTAAAGAGGCACCAAATCCAGCTTTGCAGAAACCGTGAAACCTCAGTGGATCTTCCTCCATGGTTTTCACTTCTTTAGGACAGCTGCATACTAGGGAGAGATCCAAAGATGCCACTGGGAATTGAGGCGCGATCCATCGCAGAAATTTTGCTATTGCTGTCTGATAATGAAATATCATCAACTGCATTATTTCCTTGAAGTTCACATTGAGGTACAAAATATTAAAAAAACACATGCTCATGAATTTAACAATGAAATAATCTTAAAATTTTATGTAATTGCTGTTATCTCAAAATTTTCTAAAATCAAAAATTCTGATGTATCAGTTATATAACATCTGTCATTAAATTGCTCGAAATGATCAAGACAATTTCTTGCTTACTAATTCAGAAGTCAAACAACAAAAATCAGCGTTATATTTACAAAATTTTCACAGGACTAGTTTCGATGGTTTTACCGAACCACCATCTTCAGCTGCAAAACCGCAAATGAACAAGATAGGAAATAATGATTAGATAAGATAAGAAAGCCTGGACAAGAATAAGCAAGTGGCGCCATCTGTTGGTGAAACCAGAACTAAAACATAATTTCTTTAAAGGCCGAAGGCAAATTTGGATTGGAATTATCATCGTTTAACTAGAAGCAGAAAGATTTTTATGAATGTGAAATGCCTCTAGAAAATCCAGTTCTCCAATGGAAGATGTTTTTTGAATAATTTTGGCAGCAGAAAAACTGAAAGTGTGATTTTCGGACCAACAATGTTGAGCAACAGAAGACTTCTGTGTTTCCTTTTTTCTAACATATGCCTCATGTTCCTTTGACGCGAAATTTTAAGGCTCTCTTAGTTTGGCCAATGTAAATTAAAACCACTGGCAAGGAATCCTATAAATACCCCAGGAATTCATATCCGGAATGGGGTCCTTGAGTATGGAACTCGGAATTTTATTGATGGGAGAATAAACAACCCGAAAAGTTAAATTTCCTGCAAAATATGTGCAACTTTATAGCTAATTGATGGAAAGAAGGGAATGACAACAGAATTTTTATAATCTCCTAACAAGATGTGCCTTTTAGTGTGTTGATATGAGCTTTTTTAACGCTTGATTAATATGTTGGGTCGAAGCCCCTGTCAATGAAATTTTTTAACTGGCTTGATTAATAATGTTGGGTGGAAAGCCCCTGTCATTGTTTTAGGAACTTATAAAAATTCTGTTGTCTTCCCTTTTTCATAATTAGCTATAAAGTTGACATATTTGCAGGAATTTAACTTCGGGTTGTTTATTCTCCATCAATAAAATTCCGAGTTCCATACTCAAGGACCCATTCCGGATATGAATTCCGGGGTATTTATAGGATTTCCTTGCCAGTGTGGTTTAATTTACATTGGCCAAACTAAGAGAGGCCTTAAAATTTCGCGTCAAGGACATAGGCAATATGTTAGACATGAGTTGAAAAATGAAACACAGAAGTCTTCTGTTGCTCACATTCTTGGTCCGAAAACCACACTTTCAGTTTTTCTGCTGCAAAATATTCAAAAAACCGCTTCCATTGGAGAACTGGATTTTCTAGAGGCTTTACATTCATAAAATCTTTGCTGCTCTATTAACGATGATATTCCAATCCAATTTGCCTTATTAAAGAAATTTTTTTAGTTCTTTTTCACCAAATGTAAAGCTAATATGTTTTCATTCAGTGTTTCTGTCTAACTGAACTTTGCACTTCCCTCCTTTCATGAAAATTCGCAATACGTAAGTTTATTAGCGTCTGTTAGAACTCATGCATAGCTGTAAAGTGATTTGGTGACACCAAGTACTTCAAGTTTAATACAGGTGTCATAATGTAAAGAGTAAAATAATGTGGAAAATCTCAAAATATAACTAAGCTGTTAAAAAGAGGATATAAAGATTATTTAAAATGCTATGCAGTTCCCAGGTTGTCCAACTTCTGAATTACTTCCCTAAATTCACAGAAATGTTGGGCATAGTTTAAGAGCTAATTTTCTTTTACTTGAAACTTTAGCTTAAAGCTGAGTAGCTCAGAATTCCTCTGTATTGTTGAGAAACGCCAAGGAGCGGTAAGATAGCTTCCCCGCGAAATGGTTTTAGGGTTTCCAGAAATTGGAAAGGTTGCCAGATTTGGCTTGAAATCGACCATTTGGCGATATGCCATAGACGGAGCGAAAACATTATAGAACGCATTCTTAGCGGTTTTCCCGTGAATATTCTCGAAGGTAGGTTAAAGCTATATATATGCCTGTCCTGGGAGTAGAGTATCTTGGGTTCAGCGATTAGCTTGAGAGCTGTCGACCGAGTCGGAAGCTGTACTTTAGTTCTTTCCCGTGAAGCTATCTCTACCGTTATAGCCTGAAGGTTATGTTGCTGATTTGTTTCAACGGAACTAAACGTGTCTTCGTAACTGTCCTGTGTAATACTGGTAAATAAATTGGGTTTTGATTCTTCATCAAGTGTTGTCATCAATTACTTCAAATCCAGGAACCGTAGAACGCAAAAATATTATGCATAAAAATATTATACATAATACTGCCATATCAGGCAGTATTATCATAATATAGAGGAATTCTTTAAAGAAAAAGCTGTAGAGAAATAGATATGATATAGATAAATAATAGATATAAAAAAGATATAGAAGAATCTTAAAAAAAATGGTGTTATACAGAGATAGAGATGAAAAAAGAAAAGGGAGAAGAGAGGGAGAAATACCGTAAATTGGTAACTTTCCTTTAAATGGCTACAAGTTCAGCGGAAACTAACTAAACAGAAATTACTCACTAAAAATAAGTCAGCCCGAAATTCAGTTACTAGATTACAATTTCACAATTACTCAATATATGCAATCTACCAATTTACTACTTCGAGCGCAAGATACATACTGTGTATATGATTGGCATGACACAATTTCAAAAGAATTTCAATGTGAGGGAATGCGGGTATGTCTGGAATTTATTTTATTTTTCCATGTACTATAAATAAATAATTATTGAGCACTATACACGATGGCATCATTCGCAACTTTGTAAACGTTTAGGCTAAAAATCGTGTAATCGTGTAACAAGAGTGTGCCTTTTAGTGTGTTGAGATGAGAATTTTTTAACTGCTTGATTAATAATGTTGGGTCGAAAGCCCCTGTCAATTGAGAATTTTTTAACTGCTTGATTAATAATGTTGGGTGGAAAGCCCCTGTCATTGTTTTAGGAACTTATAAAAATTCTGTTGTCATTCCCTTTTTTCCATAATTAGCTATAAAGTTGCACATATTTTGCAGGAATTTAACTTTCGGGTTGTTTATTCTCCCATCAATAAAATTCCGAGTTCCATACTCAAGGACCCCATTCCGGATATGAATTCCTGAGGTATTTATAGGATTCCTTGCCAGTGTGGTTTAATTTACATTGGCCAAACTAAGAGAGCCTTAAAATTTCGCGTCAAGGAACATGAGGCATATGTTAGACAATGAGTTAGAAAAAAAGGAAACACAGAAGTCTTCTGTTGCTCAACATTCTTGGTCCGAAAACCACACTTTCAGTTTTTCTGCTGCCAAAATTATTCAAAAAACATCTTCCATTGGAGAACTGGATTTTCTAGAGGCATTTCACATTCATAAAAATCTTTCTGCTCTAGTTAACGATGATAATTCCAATCCAAATTTGCCTTCGGCCTTTAAAGAAATTATGTTTTAGTTCTGGTTTCACCAACAGATGGCGCCACTTGCTTATTCTTGTCCAGGCTTTCTTATCTTATCTAATCATTATTTCCTATCTTGTTCATTTGCGGTTTTGCAGCTGAAGATGGTGGTTCGGTAAAACCATCGAAACTAGTCCTGTGAAAATTTTGTAAATATAACGCTGATTTTTGTTGTTTGACTTCTGAATTAGTATTTCGGTGTGTTATTGTGTCTTAATTTCTTGCTTGCTTTCAAAAATTATACGTACGCAAACTAACATTTAACATGCATTTAAAAATAATTTTGAATCTAGAACTGAACTATTTTCTTTCGAAAGACAATTTATAAATCAGTCTTCCAGAAAAATGTAGATATTGATGTATGGTAGATTTGATAGGAAACAGTCGTGGCAGATTTAATATTCATTTTCAATTGAATTAAACTTGTACCCATTAATGGCGTCTATTTCAGAACATTTGCATTTTTGAGATTTTTGCGGTAAGACGAGAAGCAATAAACAGCAGACTAGTTAGGCCAATCAAGCAGAAGTGAAATGTGTGCTTAGAATGAAATCTTAATTCAGAGTGACTTCCTTTTAAAGTTGGACAAGATAGTACCAATATAGAGAAGGACCCTTGCCTAGTTGAAAATTGGTCTACGGAATTAATTTGTTAGTTCAAACGTTCTAAATCGTTTTTAGCTGAAATTCTAAGTTCTTCAACAGCAGTATCAGTCAAGAAGAGAAAAAAAAAAAAAAAAAAAGAATATCATTGCTTTTCTACTGTGTTCTAGTGCTTAAATTTAAAAAACCTACTGCTAGTTCAAAATTGGGATCATTTAAGTTGCAAGTAGAAAGATGTCATGTAGGTAATATATTTAAAAGAGATTTAAGTACTTAAGCAGATGTTTTCCCTCTACTTCCGCTTTCAGTATAAATGAAATAAGGTCATCTATCTTCGAGTTTATCACACTTCGGCTATTTCCTTCGGGTAAATTAAATCACGTTCCTTTTCAGCGGCGCAAGAATTAAAAGTATGCTAGGTACTTTAAATTTTACGTTTAAATTTAGTAAAAAATTTCCGAAATTTGATAGCTGTGTTTTGAAAAAAATAAAAATATTACTCAAAGAATGGCAGAGTAATAATTCAATATTTAATTTGAATGGTTTTGAATTTACAAATTTTGCGAGTTTATTTAACGCTGTTTTGCTATTGTTTTTTATCTCTCACCAAAAGTAAAACATTACATATATATGTTTGGTACTGCCGATTGCAATAAAAAAGAGAGGTGCATAACTAGATGTTATAGCAGTCTCCTACACAAAATTTCAATGTTCTACGTCTGATCGTTTTTGAGTTATGTGAAATACATTCATACGTTAGTACGTACGAAGTAATCCCTTTCAATCCATTTCACATACATTTTACAATACATTTTGAGAAAACCAATGTCCTTTATTCTGACCGTACGTACGGATGTCACTCAAAAAAATCGTCCAAATGGATTCGGGGAATGTTGAAATATTATACCGGAAATATTTTGCAATTACATTACTACCTTCACTGCGTACAAAGACATAAAAAGCGCTAACAAGGGAACATTTGAAAAACAGAATTTCTTTTTTTTACCTTAAAAGGTGTAGTTAATTCTGGATTTGTTGCTACGGCAGGACTTATCAAGAGAACGCCTTTAAAATATTCTGGCCTTCGCAAAGCTGAAAGAATGGATATTGCTCCACCCTGAAATTAGAAAAAAACACTTATTTCAGTTTAATGAAAACTTAAAATTCAGGACTACAGGAAACATTTTAAACATTCCACAAAGACAGATACTGCGACATATTGGATTAAATTATGCTGAGAGAAAACACTTTTACATTGTTAAACGCAACGTGTAATGAAACTGATCACCATCATCTATCAGAATTATTTTCAGCTGCACTTTCTAAAGCAAAATGTATGTTTGAAAAATAAGTATTTTTTGTCTTAGTTCATATATATGTTACCGAGAAAGACAGAAATTGGAGAACGTCGACTTTCACCGGAAAATATCAACATAACCAAATACGTCGGTCAGGGACCGAATATTTCACTACATTCTTGTATATTCGGACCCTCACCGGTGTATGTCGACAATCACAGATATGCTCTGGTGAAAGTCGAAAAGAGAGGTCATAAAGTGCCATAATAGTTTAAGTTGTTGCAATAAATTGAATTTTTAAAAAGATTTGAATCACATTAGTTGTAAGTTTTTTATTATATTATTTATTTTCTCTTCAGAACGTACTGTAACTACGTTTTCAACTTCTATTATTTTCCTTTCCTCATTTGAATGATGTGTGTTTTAGGTTCGTGTTCTTAAGTCTTATTCAAGTCTCAAGTGCGTTTATTCGCGACTGAATTACGGAGAAGAAAATAATATTGTATATGTTCAACATTCACCATTAGTACATGGTGAATGTCGACATTGACCGGTGTAAGTCAGAAATAAGAGTATTTGGAAAATATTTCGGACATACACCAAGAGACTATGGGAATGTTGACATTCACCGGTGAAAGTCGACATTCTCCAGATTTCGGTGTTTCACCGTAACATATGCATTATTACTTTCCAGACGCATTTTTGTCATATTAGAATGCTACATGCAAGCCTCCTATGCTTTTAAACTTCAAATTGAATGAGGAATCATTTTTAAAAAATCTCACTTAACAGCAATTGAAAGAATATAATGTGAATATCTGAATTTTAAATTAAGATGATGTTTCTCATCAGCCTTGAACTTAACTTCCAGCTGTTCAATTTGTTAACAACGCGTCTGGAAGTAAAATGTAAAGAAACTGATACTGAGGAGAGGAAAATCTCTTGAAAAATTAATTACTGATCAGAAGCTGGTGTTCCGAACGCTCCTTTGCGGCCATGTAGTTTTTTTTTAAATATCGCTTATGTTCAACGTACCAGTTTCTAAATCAATTATTTTTAAAGGTTTGATAAACAGTAAAAGTGAATAAAGATGTAAAACTAAATAAAGGAAGGGAACAGGCAATTAATTGAACAAGTCAGATGAAATAAAGCAAAATAACTTATAACATGTGGATAAAAGATTTCTAATAATTGTGTTTTAATTTATTCTTAGAATGAATTCTTATAATTTCAATTATTCACCCACATATTCATTGCACATGCATGAACACATTTTTAGTACTTTTAAATACGTATTAAGATATATACGATTACGTGTATAAGGTTCATATTAACCTTATTAGTTTTTTCATATTTTGAGCATCGTTCTGATTAAAGTATGTTTTCGCTCTCTTTCCTTGAGATTTAATTATTTAGTTCCATATTTAAACACATGGTTCAAAGATATTATATTTGCTGCTGACACAGAGCCTAAATTTTAAGAGTAAAAATAATTTTTACCGTTTATCAACCCAGTTATTAGTTTAGTTAGCTACGTACTAAATTCTTACACATTTTATATTCCCTTGCCATCTAGTTACAGCAATGGTTCTCAAAGAACGTGCCACGGCGAAGGATTAAAAGGATGCCAAAGGATTCTTTACGCTAATAGCAAAATTTATAATACTGCTAAAAATAATACATATAATTTCATTCAATAGGAATTTTGTAAAAGAAACCAAAAATATTCGACTTTGGGCATGCTTATACTAACAGGATTTCTTGCTCTTTAAAAGATTTGATTACTGCTAAAACATTTTAGTTATTCATTTTTTGCATAAAAATGCAGTTTACAGTGGGTCGACTTGAAGAAATATTTTTCATTTCCTGCTCAGCTGAAAGAATTATCTTGCGTTTCTTGTTTTTCATATTCATTAGGAACGAAACGAACAGTTTCATAAGTAGGTGATTGAAAAATAATTTAGGATTGACTTCTTCCACTGCTTTTTCCAGGTATGCCGCCTAGGAAGTAGCGAAGGTTGACAGATAGTCCGAAACCAAGGTTGTGAGTTCGATTCCTGGATAAAACTTAGCTGTATATATATTGTCCTCCCCCTCCTTATGAATGTAATATCGGTATCCCCTTTTATGCCCCCCTGCAACATGTTCTCGGAGATGAGAAGGTTAAAGGACCAATGGGCTCTTCACAATTACCACTGAAAGCTTAACAGCATGTGTCTTGCCGTTAGATTTAGAAAAAGGAAAAAGAAAATTCTAGGTTTTCTTTCTTCTTAAACATTCAGAATATAAGAAATGGTAATTCACCATATTTCGACTGAAGTGTGCTTGCTGATTGAAACTGTTCTGCGAGATTGTCTTCCTCTTGATAATAATTCGTTACAACAGCATAATACTGCATAGAAAGTATTTATGCTTCCTTTGGAAATCACATGTGGCTCTCAAATACGACTATGTAATTAGTCCGATGTTCAATTTGAAAATAGTTTCATTAGAAACTTAAATGTATGTACTTCAACTGTACACTACTCGTTAGAGTCAATGTAACCAAACGGATATTTTCTACTTGAAAGGTCAAGCTATTGCATTTGAGGCTCGTGTAATAGAAAGAAAATTTCGGTCTCGGTGAAAAATGAAGGATCAAGAAGGTTGATTCGATCACGTTGTACGCAGTCTTTAAAGTGTGGTATAAATTCAATACACTTTGAATGAGCGTGAAGTTTAATATATTTTGAATGAGCTTGAAAGCTCTAAATGCTATGCAGAAATTTATTGACAAGAGGAACAAAAAAATTTTGGGTCAATGAATGTAATCATGCAACACTATAAAGTGTATAATAACAAATGTTTAAAATAATTGAAACATTTGTTTGCATTAAAGGTATTTTTGGTTCACTCTGCTTTCCCTTAAGTTTATTTTTGCCCACTTCGAACTTGCGAAACAAGCATGTTTGAAGTACGATTATAATCGCATTACAAGCTCTAGCACTACATATTTGGTATTACATTACATACCTGCATGTCGATTTTCCTGCCGTTTGTAGAGCTTTTCCTATAGCGACTGCTGGGTGGAAATCGGGGCTAGATTTTACAATTCATTTGCATATTGCCATAGATAAGCCTGAATACCAAAGTGATTTCGAAAAGTAAAGTGTCAGTGGCACAGACCTTCTCATTGTGTTACTTCAAATGAGGCGGCGTTCTCGATTAACCCTTCTCGTTAGTTTTTAATTGTTTACTCTACAACATGTTTTGTGTCTTCCAGTTTCATTATTTCCGAAAAGCTATTTACAATTCTGAAATATGAAAACAGATGTAAAGTAATAAAACAAGGAAAAAAATTGTCATATCATTACTTAGCAATATGCTTTTAAATTACAAAACTGAAGTGGAAAAAGCTGCATTAGGAATGATGTATGAAATTTGCTTAAAGATATTTTAGGGCATATTTTTTAAATTTAATATTACCGTCCATGATCGCATTAAAAATTATCCGGCATGTACATAATGTAGTGAGTGTATACGTACAGTAAAATAGCTTCTATATATTAGGCATGAAATAAATCTGAGGGAAATGTGCAGATTGAAAGAATGATTATGTTTCATGCTTTCAGAAATAAAGATTCATCTCCGAGTTTTATATTTAACAAGTCGAAAAATACTGAATTTCAATTTGAATTCATAAATAAATATCTTTCTCTGCAAATAATTATTTGTGTCACAGAGAATAAAATGGTGAAAAAGGAAATAAAGTTCCTACTCAGCATTTTTTCGACATTTTCCGTTCTATTTCACTTCTATTACTTCACAGCTCACTGAATTAAAAGAAATATAGGAATATATAGATGACTTTGAGGTACTGGTAAAGGAAATGAAGGCCACAGCAACAAATCAAAAGCATTCAAGGGCTATTTTCGTGATTTTGTTTTTCAAGGTGAAGGATTTTACTTTTTCATTGATAAAAGAGTAATATTTTTCATGCATTCCTCTTCTTTGCAAGCATTACTTAAAATTCAATGACATAAAAAATGACACTTAAATAGCTAACATACTAGTTATTTAAATATACTAAGTATTACAAATAATCACCCTTCCAGAAACTGGGAAGAACAAAGAGAGAAAACGTGTCCAAAAGCGTCTAAAAATATAAATATAGGGGAAGCTAAGTAATTTAAAGATGTCTAAGTCATATCTGAGTGTCTAAATAAGAACGAACGTTTACCTAGCAGAATGAAAGAAAAATAAAGTGTCTTGAAACACAGTGAAAAAGAAGGGTGGTGTTATATTTCGCCCACACTTCATGTCGCCCGAAACTTGTCACACAAAGAACTTGAGATTTATGTTTCACCACCTCCGCTTTCATTTCCGAAAGCTGGTAATTATAGAAAATTTATTCCTTTTGCATCCGAAATAACAATAAGAAAAATGAAGACCTGTAGTTTTCTCACATCTGGCCATTCATTGTTTAAAATTTCGACATAGGTGTGATTTAAATGCTCAAGGCTTACATGAAAAGAACGATTCCGAGGTATTCAATAACTCCATAGCCTTTTCTGGGACCAATTTTGATTATTCGGATTAAATATTCTACTTGAATTGTTAAAATAGAAGGTCAGCTAAAATAAAATTCAAACCAATCCCCACTTAATATCTTTGACTGAATCAGCATCCAAACCTATTCTCTGATGTATTGTATCTCCGTTTCTCGAAAATCAAAAGCTACATAATGTAACGGAGCTCTAGCTCTTGATTAGCACCTAGAGTATTTCGTGTTATTTATTTTAATTTGGACTTTAAAGAATCTCAGAATATGCTTAACAGA